CAAGCTTTTCAAAGCTTGACTGCACGGATTGGATACGTAATCCATCAATCGAAGAAGAGACTCATCTTCTGCGTATGTTTTTTGCACGTCATCAAGCAGATTCCACGAAGGAACACTCACTGGTAGTGTCGCGACAGTGGGATCACCCCTACTGTGGTGTTCGGCTCCAAATCGGGCCGACGAGAAAGAGCATCAGCGACGACATTAAGTCGTCCTGATTACACTCGACGGAGAAGTTGTACTCCGCGAAGAAAGACAGCCACCTCGCCATTCGTTGCAAGAGGTGTGGACTGTTTACGGCCGTGCGTAACGACGCATGGTCAGTATAAACGATGAAGGGTCTATCTCCTAAGAGATATACCCGAAACTTAGCCATTGCATACTTCATGGCAAGAAGTTCCTTGTCATGCACCGGGTGATTTCGCTCAGCTGCTTGCAGCTGACACGATTGATATCAGCCGACGCGGTCAACGCCGTCTGAGTCGTACTGCATTAACGCGCAGCCGATTGCAAAATCGCTGGCGTCACAGACCACATGAAATGGTCTATCCTGGTCTGCAATCGCCAACACAGGCGATTGTACCAAGATTTTCTTGATGCTCTCAAAAGAGTGCTGACACTCAGTGCTCCATGACCACCTCTCGTTTTTCTTTAGCAGACGAGAGAGATGTACAGTCATCTCGGCATAGATGCGCGAGTGTTTGTGCAAATACGCTGCCAAGCCAAGGAACTTTCGAAGTCCCTTGACGTCGACTGGCACAGGCCAGTCGCCAATCGCCTTGATCTTTTCCGGATCAGGGCGTACACCGTTTTTACCCACGATGCAACCGAGAAGTGGTATTTCGTTCGCTTCGAATATACACTTCTTGAGGTTTGCGAACACCTTATGCTCTCGCACTAGAGTAAGAACCTTCCGGACGTGGATTCTATGAACCTCCACGTCCGTCTTTCCATCCCTAGCCCGGCTATGGACGAAGACATCGTCGAAGTAACTCGGTGCGAAGTCGCTTACCAATCGCAACAGATTCGTAACACATCTGTCAAACGTTGCGGGGGCGTTTCTTAGCCCCTGTGGCATCGCTATCCACTCCCAGAGCATACCGCTGGGGGTGCTCACTGCTGTGTAAGGGATATCATGAGGATCTGATAGAATTCATCCATCAAATCCGTGGATGAAAAGATGGTACTCTTTGAAATACCATCTATGATGACGTTCTTTCTTGGGATCCGCGTTTGAGCCGGTACCGTTGCAGCGTTCATTTTGTTGACCGCGTGCACTATCCGCCACCTTCCTGTGGCCTTTCGCACACAGAAGGTCGGAGATCTGTGTGGTGAAGTTGATTCCCTCACATGACCAGCCGCTGAACGATCCGCAAAGAATTTGTCGATCGCTTTTACCTGTCCACATGTCAAATGCCACTGCTTCATGACACAGTATTTCGAACCAGGTTTCAGTTCGATCTCATGCCGAGTGCATTGTCCTTGGGCATCTCGCATGACACGGACTCCGGGAAAATATCCCTGAATTCCACCAAATCCTTGTACAAAGGATTTGTCTTCAAAGACTCCCACGATTGAGACGTGTATCGCTCAATCCGAGTATTCTCATCGAGGACACTCTCCTCCATCGATGAGCTACTGAGAACCCGTTCGTTTTCAGCAAACACTTATGCCGACCGAACATCGGCGACGTACTCGTTCTCTGTGACGAGTACGCAGATTTGCTAGATCTTGTCACTACGCAGACTCGCAAGAATCTTTTAGATTCTAGCGTTGGCAGCTTGAACACCTCCGAAGTGACTTCGGGGGCGTCACCAGATCAAGTGTATAAGCGCCTGCACTTGATCCGTCAATCACCAAGACATTCACTGTCGCGGTGATTTCCTGAGAAAACACATCCGCAGGTGGTTGGGAATCCACACCCTCAACACAACTCTCTCGGGGGTTTTGCTCTCAGGAACGCCGGAATTTCTTCCATTACGTGTACTATCACGGTCACGTCCTCTTCGATCGACTCTCTTTAAGTCGATCGGGCTTGCTCTACTATCGACTCTCTGATGGTCGATCTTGCTTCGACGTGTTGTTTATCCTGACCTACACTAATCTCACTTCTCGGATACACCCTTCTTGGTGTGTATCCTGTTCCAGTCCACTCGATCTTTTCGAGTGGTGAACCTTCGGCGCAGCCTGTGTTTCCTCACAGCCGCCGGAACTTTGCTCCGAAGTGTAACTGTTTGTTACACTAAGGTTTCGTGCAGCCGTACTAACTAACGTACCACAAGTGAGGCCATCGCACTCACTCGTAGTACATCCACACGCTTGTGGACGCTCCAAGACGTTCATTCGATGGTCATCTGATGAACAAACGGCAGGCATCGTTACTGTTCGATGCTGCCAGATAACCCATGGCTGGTATTTTCTAAGCCATGGCAGACCGAGGATGACATCAAATTTGATATTTAAATCCAGTACGATAAAGTCATCATCGTACTGCTTTCCTTCTAGCGTGTAGTGGATTTCCAGTACACGTTTGTCCACTGTTACGGACGGTCCTGTAGCAAGGCACACCGTTATCCTCGTTGGAGGGAACTCTCGCTTAACATAGTTCAGTCTACTACCTCTGAGAGACTGACGTCGAATAAAACTGTTCGACGCCCCACAGTCAACCAGGGCGCGAAGTGACATTCCACTTGTCACTTCGATCTTCAAAGTGATGAGAGACTCTTCATAACTAGAGGCAGTAACCCACAGCGACTGTGTGTTGGGAGCAATCTTTGTCAAGAGTCTTGCAAATTCTCTTGAAGTTGCTGGATCAGCAGGGTACTCCGCTCCTGCTGATCCTTACCGTTTTTTGACGGTCCGACTTGCTGTCGCGGTCTAGCGACGTGGTCAGACCCACGCCTTGTACCCTTCCTTGGCCAACGGTGGTCATCACGTCCTGTCCTTGGACGTGTTGCGGTACTCGGGACACTACACTCATGAGCGTAGTGTCCAATATTCTGACAGCAATGGCATCTTGCCGTTCGCTTGTGACTCAGAGAGCGATAGTTCTCGCTTTCGATGTAACAGAAGTCCATTGGCTCGCGACCTCCTGTTTCCTGTCGTCTCGTCGGACGATAGTTTAACGAGCTATCCTGAGACTGTATCAGGCTGAAGGTTTCTTGTTCCGAATACGCTATCGCCTTTTCCGACGTATGGAAGTCCTCTCGGAACAAGTAGGTCTTCACTAGCCCATCCACAAGGCCGTAAAAGAACACGTTGATGAGCTTGTACTCATCAACATGGTTTTTCGTAACGCTACTCGCAAGGTAGCGCAGTTGCTGTGCGTAAGCGTGCACGTCACGCTTACCTTGCTTTAGCCTCAAGAGTGCAGAGCGTGTTCTGAACTCGTCTCTCGGCTGGTCAAACATTTCTTTAAGCCGAGACTCTAAGATCTTTAACGACTCAACCACGTTTAAGTCGTGAAAGCTTAAGCCCTAAGGCCCAGTCTTTGCTCGTCCCGTCAAATTTGACAGGGCGAAGGTGACTTGCATCTCGTCACCCTCGATGTGAAGGGCCCTGATGGCGTGGTCTAACTCAAAGAACCATCTCAAAAGGAAACCTTCATCGGTTCCCTTGTGCCTTGAGATATATATCTTCAAGGTTTTGGGTCGACGCATGTGCGTCGGCCCACCCATCGACTGATGAGAGCCTTGCTGCTGTAGCAAGTCTATCTTCAGTCGTTCGACGGCAAGTTCTTCTTGTAGGAGCTTGTTGATAGCAGCATGTTGCTGGTCTCTGCTTAGGGACTTCAACATGCCACTGATGGCGGGTTCGCCCATGAGCACACTCACGCGGCCAACTATCTTCCATTCTGAGTCACTCAGATAGGAGTAGCCTTCACGTGTGACGTGAAAGCTGTCGTCTTCTACGTTCAACATGTTCATGTTGGGCGGACACTGAGTAGTTGTTGGACGGACTACGAAGTGCTACCAGGTGTAACGGGGCACCCTTTGTTTATGGTGCCACGAAACTTCACGTACACTAGTACGTGCAGAGGAAGCTAATCTACATGAACGGCTCGATCAAGTAAGGTAAAAAGAGAACTGTATTTAATATGGTTAAGCTATCAATATAACTTTAATCGTTATCTAACTAAATTAAACGACGTCGTCGTATGACGACAACCGGCTCACCACTCATTGCGCGCGGCTAGCAGCGATTGGTGGCAATCTATGGTTGATATGTCTCATGTCAACGAATCTTGGAGCAGCAGATGAATACTATCCGAAAGGGGACAATGTTCATTTAATATTATCCATCTCAGATAATATTGGTAGAATATTGTCATGCTTAGACAATATTCCTATTAACACCGTTTGGTGTCAATTTCATGTAACGGGCTACCCCGTTACATCAATGCAGTAGAGTTTGGTGAGTAGCGACGTCTTGAAGCATGGTTATTGCCAAAATTTCTAAGCTATTGCGATTGCTCATAGGCGACTATGACGTCTGGTGGAATCGTCGAACGTCTTGGCGAGACTTTAAAGCAATCGAGGCACTAGCAAAAGATACTACATGTACAGTGTATTGAAGTTACGAGGCCCCAGTAAGCAAAAGATGTTCACCAGATCGTCGCTTGGGGCAACCAAATCCTTTTTAGAAGTACCTATAATGCCTAGATGTATGCCTCGGCACAAAGGTCAAAAATGACAATGAATACGGAATTTAGCAATATATTGTGTAAAATAAATGACGCTTAATTTTACGCTCTCACAATTCCCTATGTGATTATGTGATCGTAGAAAATTAAAAGAACCTTGACGTTATATGCTATGACAACAACAGAATGCGGGATGTGCAGGACGCGCGGGATGGGACGTTGCGAGACGGAGCCCTAAGCGAAACTCACTTGCGAATAGGGGGTTGCAGAGTGTAACGAGAGAACAATTGCGATGAGGTATAGGCCAAGTAAAACCAGTTAATTTCATTACTTTCGTAGCAACCATCACCCAGTGGAGCTATACTCGGTGAATTTTGCGATAGAGAATCTCCAGAGTTATGAGATGTATCGTGTATTCCTTCTCCAGTTCTTGCGCTTGTTCAAGTATGTGCAAGCGATCGTCCGGGTCAAGATTCAACACAATCCTATGGGCCATGTCTGTAGCAGGTTGTTTCTTGAGGGCCCACGACAGAAACAGCGCCGTACGAAGATTTTTTTTCGTCTTCAGGATTTCTAGCGCAGCCTTGTTTTCGTTGCCATGTTTTTCGACTAACGATTTAACCTTCGCCAACTCGTCGTGGCCGGCGAAATGTTTTCCAACTAACGCCAAAAATTTACCGTATCTGACATCCGTAGGGTCCATCGTTTTCACCTCACCTTCGGCTACCATAGCTTCGTACTTACGAGCGGCTTCTTTGGAAATAGCGGTCGCATCGAAAGCGGAAGCATCGTGCTCCGCACCTTCACTCGTGACCGCGCGTTGCTTAAAGAATGGGAGGGCAGATTCGAAATGGTCCCTGAACCACTTCGCTATCTTCGCCCACAGTGAACTGATACATTCCATCGAAAAGAACGCCCGATCTTCGCTCAGTTTCCCGTCGTGATAGGCAACTCTCAGCTGTCTTGTGGCGGTCGTGAGCTCATCTGCGTCGGTGCTAGATGTTAGGGTCTCCAGTCCGTAAAGGCCCTAGGCGAGATCAGCGAAAACGAGGAACACAACACTCGCAATGAGTACAAAATGGAGAAATAAACGCATGGCGTTCGTTGAAGTATTTCGGACGGGAGGCTGGCCAATGGAGCGCAAAACTACAAATGAACAGACTATAAGAAGGTCCGGGCGAGACACGTTAGACGCTCCTCGTTGTTGTGAAGTTTTCCCCTTATCCGACGACGGCCAGACGACGACCAGACGACGACCGGACACAGCAAAGAAGTTTCTGCACGTGGTCGCACTGCCAGGCGTATCGCATGGATAGACGACGACTAGGCATATCGGTTTCTAGCCACATCGTTACCTTAGTATAGGTGGCGACGAAAAGTCTGCAGGAAAATTTGTACCATATATTTTATAATGTGCGCTTTTGTGCCAGCACGTCCGGGTGTTATCGACTTCCAAACGACATGATAACCTAATTGGATGGACCTTCAGGCCAGATGGAAGCTGGGAAGCCTGGACATCTACGAAGCCTCGACGCCTGACGCCGGATCAGGTTCTCGGACCATTCGGAATTCCCGACAGCTGTGCGCCCACTTTTGTCTTGGCGCATCCGTGCTTGACACAGTTTAAACCAGTCGTGCTGCTTTAATGTCGAAGCCAATTGGCGCGGATAGTGCTCAGCCTGTCCCATCGATCTACTTGCGTGTCCAGTATGCTGCCGATGGAAATCCGGTGGACACTCGGCGTTATGTTGACGTGGTCGTCATCATTCAAGAAATCGACAGATACGCGTCCCGAAGAGCCACTCGAGATTTGCAGTTGAAAAAAGCACTAATAGAACCTTCTTAGATGCTTCTTCCAGCTTGAGCTAACAAGCTTGTAGTGGGTAGGTCTTGTACGCAACCTAAACGGAAATATTGGGCTGAGATTCTTGATCAAATATTACAGGAACAAGTAGTGGAGATCTGGAACCAGGTAATGTATCCGTAACCGCCCCCTCTCGTTGGGGATGGGCCTTGATACCAACTAGTAACTCGCCAGCAAAAGAAGTAACATTGCATGTAAAAGGCAAAAGGAGGAACATTCGTAGATGGCAATGTCTCACATATGTGAACGCGAATCGTTTGGTAGTAGCTGTCGCTATCCATGCTGCCAATGAGGGTGACCCGGGCATGCATACATGGGCTCTCCACTATCTCCGCTGTCATGCCTAGATCATTTAATGTTCGGCGCGCCAGCGGTTCTTGCTCTCTACAAATAAGCAACTCTTCCGACGCACATGCACCCGGACCTGCCAGCTTGATGGACTTTGTAATAGACTGCAATCGCTCTACAAGCGGACGCTCCCACACTTGTAAAACGTGGGCAAGAAAACGCTTCACATGCAGGCGCGGGAAAGGGGTGGCACCAGGTTCACGCTCCGTCTTTGAGTTTATGCCGTGGAAATCCGATCCACCCATCTGATAGAGCAAGCACGTACAAATATGAGTTCCGCGACAATGCTGCCTACTTTGTGTCGTTACGTACTCTTAGCAACTCGGATTCCTTCGCCAAGGCGCCATACATGTCAATTTTATTCTTATTATGAAAGACCTCGATGCCCTGAAGAGCACCCGTCAAGCAACACCTCAGTACATGTCTTTCGACCGTAAAGTAGCATCGTGTGCGTGACGTACCTGAATGCCTAGCTTAGCCAGTTCTGGAACCAGCGTCATCGGGTTCTGTTACGAGCAAAGAGGTTACATGAGAGAACTGCGGTCTAGCAACTAGCAACCTCAAAGATGTTTGTATAAGTCTACCTTGCAGCACCAGGGGTGGGCAAGAACAGAGACTCCGCCGGCGCTAGCAATAAGCTTGATAGCTTCTTCAGGTGGGAAGTTCTCGCCCTAGTACAAAACAACAAGCAACAATTACGTATTGCCTCCATACAACCCTGTGTATGCAATAAAATACAGCATCGCGTACCTCGACGTACGCAGGACCGTCATTATGCAGGTACCGTGCAAAAGCCTGGCGGAAGTCGACGACATGCCCGCCTTCCACAAGAGCTTCAGCCACGTGTGGTCGACCAGGTGCCGCTTCTCCTGCAATTTCCAGTACTCGTTCCCACTCGAGTTTGATGCCCATCGCCTCCTAAAGTCGATGCCAATCATTACTTCTGTCACAAAGTATCGTTGGCAAGCCACCATTCCCCCTATCGCACCCACCAACTTCTTGAGCATTCCTTTGCCACGCTTGTACCTCCCCGTACGGATCTTGAGCAGCTGTTCCTCCAATTCGACACTATTCGATCCGGGATAGAAATAGCCCAGGATGTGTAGGTTCTCTCCACCTTTCACCTCAGCACTGATCTCGACACCAGGGAAGACCAAGACGCCCTGTTTCTGCGCTGCACCAATAGCCTCACTCACTCCAGCCATTGTATCATGGTCTGTGAGCGACATGAAAGTCACGCCATTGGCCACAGCCTTGGCAATCACCTCACTGGGCTTAAGCTTGCCATCACTGCAGGTGCTACTTGCACGGAACGTTTTTGATTATGAATCCACACGAGCATAGTTACCGATATAAAAGATGACAGTTCTTCAGCGAGTATAACGAGTGACGGTTTCTGTTCCACACCTGTGCAAATGGAAGTCTCCACAGGCAAAGCCATCTGCATCAAGAGCGTCAACCGCCGCGTGATGGTGATCATTGGACGGGAACATGGCGTCACTTATCGCTCCCAGTGAGGCATCGAGGGTTGTGGTACGAGTGCCAGGTAACGGGCACTTACTGTTGAAGTTTGCCTGCATGTTCACGTGCTTGCGCTTGCTGCTCTTCTTGCCATTCTTATTCTTCGTCTTGCGGGAGCAGCTCGACGCGGAGACCATCGCGAAGTGCGTGGGTGCCAATAGAGGTATCCGGTTTCGCAGGTTTATTGCGTAATCCTTATTTTTAGTAGTTTAAGCTAAATTTAACCATCGATTAATTTCGTGCCCGACATTGAGGTTTAGAGAGATCACGAACAACCAGGAGAGCTCGGGCTCCTGCTCACGCAGGAGCAGGCCGTTTTATTTATGGATTCAACCGTGAATAATAAATATCGTAAATCTCTTGTTTGCGTCTTGACTAAAATATTATATACGGGGCACTGTTTATTCAGCTCTAAAACCGGCAGTGAGACTCAGCATTTTCACTTACTTGCAATGCAACACTCCGTCTAGTAAAAGGTCGGTGATACTGTTTCGGAAACCGTCTTTTCCATTCTTTCAAATAGAAACATGATTCAACTTGACTTGTGCCAGTAACACTGTAGCAACTCCACCACATAACCGTTATACTTGAACCTGTCTTTGGCAACACCCCATAATCCATCGTAAGTGAAGTCTCCCTTGAAAGAGTCTAATATTGACTTGACAGCAAGTTCACATCTCACGGCATTCATTAGCTCGCCGCGCTCCTGCTCAATCAATTTCATCTCTTCGCGCGTATAGCGCGCCAGAAGGCGTTCCTAATGACTCCATACAATCGTGTTGAATTCAAAGTTAAGAATCAAACCAGGTATTGAGGTGCAACGGGTGAAAGTTTGGACCCCTCTGAATTCGGGCCTCGATTATTGGGATCTCGCTCAGCCACGATCTCGTCAATACTGTTCATGGCATTGCTGAACAGAGTCGCGACGCTTTTCACAACATCTCACAGTTCTCCATCATCCATGGACGCAAGAATCTCAGAGACGAATGAACCCTGATCATCAATGAAACGATTCACTTCAGCAAGATTAGCAGGAATTTTTGGAAGTCGATACAGGCTATTCATTAAAGTCCAGCGTGTCCGCCTCACCACCAGCCGCCAGAAATAGACATTTGGCTCGGACGTATTCGATGTAGAACAACATCAAACTCTTCGCATTCTCTCGCTGCATTGTCACCATGACAGAGTGTTCTTGGGGCTACTTAAAATGTCACCGTTGCGCGCGCTTAAAAGGCTTCAGCAATCATGATGCAAATCCACCAGCGGTCGGACGGCGTTCACACCGAGTTCTTTTCGGCAAATTGGGCACTAAGACGGACACATTCGGCCTTGAACCAGCCACTGACTTTTATCATAGACTCTCAACGGGACGTAGCGAGTAGTGAGCAAGCCGTCTTAATTCTGCTGATCAGGATCTGCTGTCGGCGAAAGTTAGAAATGATGGGGGTCAACACTCCGTGAAACTCGTCATCACCAAAATGAACGTACTTGTCTTGTCATACGATGTCCAGCTGGCGCGCGCCACACCAAAGTCGAAGCCAATTTTTGCAACAAGTTAGCAACTGTTGACATAATCGCTTATTTTGCCTGTCATTTTTTGTTCGCCATCTGAAGAGATGATAGTGATGATGTCACGTCATTGAGGCAGCACAGCGTCGAACGCTTCACAAGCAGTCGAGATATGACCTCGCCATGGTATCGATCGTACACTAGAATCGCCAAAAAATGGACATTGAGGGTGGCATACTAAAGAAGATGCAAGCGGAGACGTATGTTGTAACGGGGCACCCTGAAGCTTGTACTGGTGACAGTACAAGCTACTTATTCTGATAACAGAATAAGGCGGTGCCTCGTAACTTCACGTACACTCGTACGTGCAGAGGAAGACGGTAAGAAGAAGCGAGTACTTGGTTAGTGTAACGGGGTGAATCGTTACATAACAATTTATAAGAAATTGTTAATAGCAATATAACTATAAGAGTTATATTCATCAGAATATTGTCATAAGGACAATATTCTGTCAGCACTTCAAGTAGTGTCCTCATTGGTTGATATAATGGCCATTATATCAACCAATTAGGAACTACTCGTAAGTGCTACAGAATATTGTCCTTATGACAATATTCTGAGAATATAACTCTTATAGTTATATTCTATTAACAATTTCTTATAAATTGTTATGTAACGATTCACCCCGTTACATCACCCCCCCTTAACCATCAGTCACTTTAGTGACTGATTGACTAAATGGATACTCGTCCCAAATCATTTGGGACGGGGTTTGCACTTGTTGGTCCGCGTCCACTTTCCAACATCTCATCGCATGGTAAACAAGCCCATGCGATGCGCGAGCAAGGCCGCCGAGAGCGCGTCTGCACGTCTCTGTGCGGACGCCGAAGCAGAAACTACAGCAACTGATGTCCCATCGGTTGCTGAATCGACTCAGCCTGTATCACCTGGTGATGCAGGCGCTGGTCATGAAGACACTCGTGTCTTCACAGAGTACGAGCTCGGTGTCTCGTACTCTCCTGATACGGATGACGGATCCGTATCGACGGCAATTGAATCCAAGCCGCCTGCCAAGCGTGGCATGGACGATGCTTTGCGTCGCAATCTTTGGTTCATCTGATGAGTCAGATGAACCATCGCCGAAGCGAAGGCGCTCGAGGTCGCGAGACTCGGGCGCTAATAGTGGTGTCGTTTCTCCAATGGACACCACTTCACAGCGAGGTGCCAGTACTTCTGTCGGCACGTCGCAGGAAGAGCGGGACCGCAATGTGTTGCGTCTCGCTCCAGAAAAGAAGGCATGGATGCCTCCTAAATCCGTCATGGATCACTTGTCGGCGACGACGAGTGATCGTTATCAAACACGATTGTTCGATTCGTCAAGGATTCATCACCTTGACCCCAGCGCGAAAAACTATCGCGCTGAACATGAGTTCTTCATCGATGCTTTCTTTAAACATCGATGGTACAGAGGTAATCACGAACGTGATGGTCCCTCACTACTTCAGGCGTGAACGCCTACATCCATAACCTCGAGGATGTAGGTCGTGACGCTTGGAACAACAAACTTATCAAAGCTCGTGATAAGTTTGAAAAGCGAACCCCCACAGGTGCACGCTACAAGCTGCATCGTCTGTCAAGGGAGAAAGGATTACCCTGCCTCTCTTGGGGAGACTCGTGCCCATGTTGTGTGAACAACTCTGCACGAGCACCTAAGGAGGCTTACCTCCTTACCAGCCCGTGGTGGCGCGTACGTGTCTCTACTGAGATGTACGAAGGGATTGACAACCTGAAATCCCTTTACGACCGTGCCGGGAAGACTTTCTCCGGCGGTCCTTCTGCGGCACAGGATGTGTCGCGTCGTACTGCTCGACCAGACCCAGTACGTCAACCATCAATTGGGAGCGGGGCTCCCAAGAATCCCAGGACGGGGGATAGCCGCGCCACCGGACGAGGTAACTCGTCCGACGTCCGTTCACGTCGCGGTGGTTCAACAGCTGCTCTACTAGATAGCGCTGGCCACCGCGAGAGTCCTCTAATGGAGGTGGAGGAGGAGGAAAGACGCTCTCCACACGATCATGTGGATCGGTGTGTTCCCGAGAGCTTCTTTGATCGCGTAACGCAAGGGTTACGCGACGATCTCGAGCATGAGCGGAATAGGCGTCTCCAGATGGTGGACACTGCCTCGAAGCATCGAGCTGAGTTTGCCTTTGCTCAGCTTGAGAACGAGAGATCTCTGACATCTCTTCGTGACGAGCTAAGGGTAGCTCGTGGGATTGTTGATCGGTCTCGGGCTGAGATAACTGCTCTTCAGACCCTTGTTGATGCCCACCATCGGGAGCACAAGGCTCTCTGCGAGATGCTTGAGCGCAAGGGCGTTCTTCATCGGAAGAAGCAGCGTACTGATGGTACGGCTTAAGCCGACCAACGTAAAACGTGGGATGCGTTCGCATCTTACGTGGTAACTCGATCGTGTATGCATTGCCTAGGCGGTGCAATACACGAAATGGGCCAATGTACTTGGGTAGTAGTTTACTGCTACCCAAGTTAGTCACTACATGCTTTGGTAGATTAACCGTAGACAGTAGGACTAAGTCACCTTTATTAAATAAAAGAGTGTTTGCCCTTCCATTCTTGTCAGCGTTTTGCTTTTGCTTATCCACCGCTTCGGCGATGGAGTCTTGCACAAAACGGACTACCGTTTCACGAGCCAGTATGAACTCATCTGATGACTCGTTAGCTTCAGTGTGCTGTGAGCGCACTGCAGCGACAACAACCTTTTCTTCAGTGAGGGCTTCCGCACTCTCACTGGGATCATTGTCTTCAGTGAGGGCTTCCGCACTCTCACTGGCATCATCTTCTTCGATATCGATGTTATCGATATCGGCATCAAACGCAATGACTTCTTTGTCAGAGCGTGATGAGCGTGAACCAAATCGGTTTTTGCTCGCGCGAGTCCCTCCCCCCTTAAACCAGAGTTACACTCTAGTAAGGTGGGTACACGCGGATGGCGCAAGCCATTCACGTAAAACGGTGTATGTGTCGTGGACGCATGCACCGAGTTGTTGATGGCAAACTCTACCATCGGCAAAAACTCACTCCAACTCTTAAAGGAGTGTACGTATCCTCGAAGTATCTCTTCAAGGACACGATTGGCACGTTCCGTCTGACCATCTGACTCTGGATGATCAGATGTTGACATCTTCAAGCGCGTTCCGAGTGATTTGAACACGGAACGCCAGAAATCAGCAGTGAATCGTGGATCTCTGTCTGATACGAGTTCACGGGGCAACCCATGAAGTCGGAAGATGGTGTCAATAAAGACACAAGCACAGCCACTTGCCGTGATTGTCTCTGGTACAGCCACAAGGTGTACCATTTTGCTGAATCTGTCAACAAATACGAGAATACCCGTATTCCCGCGTGCGTCTTTGGGTAACCCGAAGACGAAATCCATTGAGATGGATTCCCAGCACTCAGCCGGAACCGGTAGAGGCTGTAAAGGTGCACGCAGTGAAGGACTTGACTTCACTCGTTGGCAGACTTCGCATGCGCGAACATACTTTCGCACAAACTGATACTGGCGGGGCCAGTAAAAGTCTCGACTTACCATGAGATATGTTTTCTCTCGGCCACGATGTCCTCCTATAGGAGCATCGTGATACTCGAACATGATCCGCAAACGCAGATCAATATCATCTGGAATGACAACACGTGGTGTGTCACCAGAAACGGCTGTATAGTACAGTAAACCGTTACGAGTAGTGTATCGATCTGATGCAGATCGATACGCAGACGACAATCGTTTCAACGATTCTCGAGATGGTTGGGAGAGATGTGACAACAACTTCACTATCTCACCATCTTGGGCGTATGCCCGCCTCACATCATCATACAACGTTGTAGATGGAACTGAGGACGTCATAACCGCAACAGTGACTGTCTCACTGTTGGGTTTCGCGACTGTTTCAAAGTCGGGACGACGTGAGAGTGCATCAGCGACGACATTAAGTCGTCCTGGTTTGTACTCTACCGTAAAGTTGTATTCTGCAAAGAATGACAACCACCGCGCCATTCGTTGTGAAAGGTGCGGGCTGTTCACTGCCGTGCGTAAGGACGCATGGTCAGTGTAAACAACGAAGGGTCTATCTCCTAATAGATAGACTCTGAACTTCGCGAGTGCATACTTCATGGCAAGGAGTTCCTTGTCATGCACTGGATAGTTCCGCTCAGCTGGTTGCAGCTGACGCGACTGATAGCAGACGACGCGTTCAACGCCTTCAAGGTCGTACTGCATTAATGCACAGCCGATTGCGAAATCGCTGGCATCACAGACCACATGAAATGGCCTGTCCTGATCGGCTATTGCTAGGACTGGGGATTGTATCAAGCTCTGCTTGATACCCTCAAAGGAGCGTTGACATTCAGCGTTCCATAACCACCTCTCGTTCTTTTTCAACAAACGAGAGAGGTGTACAGTCATCTCGGCGTAATTGCGTGAATACTTATGCAAATACGCCGCTAGCCCAAGGAATTTTCGAAGACCTTTGACATCGACCGGCACGGGCCAGTCGGTGATCGCCTTGATCTTTTCGGGATCAGGACGTACACCGTTCTTACCAACGATGCACCCAAGAAGTGGTATTTCGCTTGCTGCAAAAATACACTTCTTGAGGTTTGCATACAATTGATGCTTTCGCATGATTGTAAGAACTTGTCGGACGTGGTACTTGTGAACCTCAACGTCCGACTTTCCATCCATAGCTCGACTATGGATGAATACGTCATCGAAATAACTCGGCGCGAATTCTCGTACTGGCCTCAACAGATGTGATACACACCTGTTGAACGTGGCAGGGGCATTACTGAGCCCTTGTGGCATTACTAGCCATTCCCAGAGCATGCCGCTAGGCGTGCTAACTGCGGTATAGGGTATATCCCGTTCCCGCATTAGGATTTGATAGAAGCCATCCATCAAATCCATGGACGAAAAGATGGTACTCTTTGACATACCATCAATGATTACGTCCTTCCTCGGTATCGGCGTCTGAGCCGGTACCGTTGCAGCGTTCAATTTGTTAAACGCGTGCACTATCCGCCACCCTCCTGTTGCTTTTCGCACACAGAAGGTCGGAGAGCTATGTGGGGAAGTTGATTCCCTCACATGGCCTGCAGCTAAACGATCGGCAAAGAACTTGTCGATCGCAAGTACTTGTTCACGAGGCAGTGGCCACTGCTTCATGACACAGTACTTCGAGCCTGGTTTAAGCTCGACTTCGTGTCGAATACCTTTATCCTTCGGTAATTCGCACGGAACAGTTTCAGGGAATACATCCTTGAATTCAACCAAATCTTCATAGAGAGGATTTTCCTTGAGCGATTCCCATGATTGGGACTCATATCGCTCAATTCGTGTCTTTTCATCTAGGACACTCTCGTCCATAGATGAACTACTGAGAACTCTCTCGTTCTCAGTAAACACTGTTGCTGACCTTATGTCGGTTACATACTCGTCTTCAGCGACGAGTATGCAGATCTCGCTTGACTTTGCCACTACGCAGATCACGCAAGAATCTTTTATGTTCGAGCGTTGGCAACTGAGTGATCTCCGAAGTTAACTTCGGAGGCGCAATCAGATCAAGTGTATAAGCGCCTACACATGATCCGTTATTGACTATGACATTCAATGTCTCTGTCATTTCCTGGGGACTTACTCCCTCAGGCTTCGAAGGACTTATTCCTTCGTCTTCCCGGGGACTTATTCCCGCGGGTTTCGGGGAACTTATTTCCGCCGTATTTGTAATCTTGGGACTTATTCCCTTTACTTCCTCTAGCTGGGGTTGCGCAACCACAGCGAGATCCTCTACGAAAGACTCTCCAGTCGATCTAGGATTATCGTTTCGCTTAACCTGAGCGATCGATTGTTTCTCTTCTAGATGTTCCCCTCTAGGGATACATCTTTGTCCCAGTCCACCCGACTTATTCGAGTGGTGGACCTTCGGCGCAGCCTGTGTTTCCTCACAGCCGCCGGAACTTTGCTCCGAAGTGTAACCGTTTGGTACACTAAGGTTTTGTGCAGTCGTACTAACGACCGTACCACAAGTGAGGCCATCGCACTCACTCGTAGTACATCCACACGCTTGTGGACGCTCCAAAACGTTCATCAGATGGCCATCTGATGAACAAGCGGCAGGCATCGTTACTGTCCGATGTTGCCAGTTTACCCGTGGTTCGTACCTTCTGAGCCACGGTATTCCAAGGATGACATCAAATTTGTCATCCAAATCCAATACGATAAAGTCATCGTCGTATTGGGTATCTTCTAGCGTATAGTGAATCTTCACTATACGCTTCATATACGTTACGGATTTACGGATGCGCCTGTCGCAAGACGTACCGTCATCCTCGTAGGAGGTGTGTCACATTCACTGAATTTAAAGTGACCATCTTCTAGCGATTGGCGTCGCACAAAATTGTTGGACGCCCCACAATCGACTAGAGCTCGAAGGGACAACTTATTCGTCACTTCGAGTTTCAAGGTAATGAGTGAGATCTCATTACCTAGAGCAGCAACGCACAATGTCTGTGTGTTGGGAGCAACCTTCATCAAGAGGCCTACAAATTCTCTTGACGTTGCTGGATCAGTAGGGTGCTCCGCGCCTACTGATCCTGTCCGTTTTTTGACGGTCCATCCCGTTGTTGCGTCTTTGCACCAACTGCGGACCCTCGTCCCTGCCCCTTTCTCATGGGTGGACGGTCACTACGCCCAGTGTCGCGAGACACTGGACGAGGGGCACTACACTCGTAAGCGTAGTGTCCTGTCTTTTGACATCTGTTGCATCTCTGCAACTTCTTGTAGCCTGTAGAGCGAGCCTTCTCGCTCTCTACATAACAGAGTTCCATCGGCTCTGGACCTCCGTTGTCATATCGTCTCGGTTGACGATATGATGTCGAGCTGGCGCGAGCCTGTCTCAGACTGAAGTCTTCCTGCTCCGCAATTGAAATGGCTTGTTCTAGTGAATCTAGTACAAGCCGGAACAGGTGAGTCTTGACGGGACCATCCGCAAGACCCTGCATGAACACCGAAACCAACGTGTGTTCATCCACCGGATTGGAACTTATACAACTCGTGAGATGTCGTATATGTTGAGCGTAAGCGTGCACATCACGCTTACCCTGCTTGAGCTTCAAGAGTTCGGTTCGAGCTCTGAACTCAGCTCTAGGCGGTTCAAACGTTTGTCTGAGCCGCGACTTGAAGACTTCCAACGACCCAAACGCATATGGGTCGTGCAGCTTGAGCCCCAGTGCCCAAGTCTTGGCACGTCCTGCCAGATTTGACTGGGCAAATGCAACTTGCATATCCCCGTCGTCGATGCGACGCGCCCTTATGGCGTCATCCAATTCGACGAACCATCTCAAGAGGGAGTCTTCTTCGACCCCCCTATACTTTGAGATGTCAATCTTCAAAGTCTCGGGTCGACGCGAGTGCATCGACCCGCCAGCAGCAGCCTGCTGCTGTCTCAACAGTTCAAACTGTTGAGCACCTTGTTCTCTCAACAACTCTGCTTGTTGAGAACCTTGTTGGTGAAGCAAGGCTACTTTCTCGCGTTCTGCGTCAAGTTCATTTTGAATGAACTTGGCGATAGTAGCATGTTGGGCATCTCTATTGAGAGCCTCTAGCATGACGCTAACAGCATGGATGCCCATGGTCGAACCCATTCGTTCAACCGCATCCCATTCGACATCGCTCAAATGGGAGTAGCCGTCACGCGTAGCGTGAAAGCTTTGGTCATCTTCATCATCCAACATATTCATGTTGGATGTGAACGCGGTCCTTGGACGGACTACGAAGTGCTACCAGGTGTAACGGGGCACCCTGAAGCTTGTACTGGTGACAGTACAAGCTACTTATTCTGATAACAGAATAAGGCGGTGCCTCGTAACTTCACGTACACTCGTACGTGCAGAGGAAGACGGTAAGAAGAAGCGAGTACTTGGTTAGAGTAAAAGTAGAACTGTATTTATAATAGTTAATGTCTGCAATAAATCACTATTTATCTTCATCTAACTATGTCTAAATACAAATGTGTAAATCAGTTATCTGCTCACCACTCATTGCGTGCGTCTGTCGTGGCGCGTCTTCGTTGGTTGATATAATGGCCTATATCAACCAATTAGGGACTACTCGTAAGTGCTACAGAATATTGTCCTTATGACAATATTCTGAGAATATAACTCTTATAGTTATATTCTATTAACAATTTCTTATAAATTGTTATGTAACGATTCACCCCGTTACATATGTCGAGATACGAAGTGATCATTTGTGTCGAAAAGTCCTGTAACGGGGCACCCTGAAGCTTGTACTGGTGACAGTACAAGCTACTTATTCTGATGACAGAATAAGGCGGTGCCTCGGAACTCCACGTACACTGGTACGTGCAGAGGAAGACGGTAAGGAGAAGCGAGTACTTGGTTAAAGTAAAAAGTAGAACTGTATTTGTCATAGTTAAAGTCTGTTAATAAACCACTGTTTATCCTCATCTAACTATGTCTGAATACAAATTTATAAATCAACTACCTGCTCACCACTCATTGCGTGCGTCTGTCGTGGCGCGTCTTCGTTGGTTGATATAATGGCCTATATCAACTAATTAGGAACTACTCGTAAGCGCTGCAGAATATTTGTCCTTATGACAACATTCTGAGAATATAACTCTTATAGTTTTATTCTATCAACAATTTCTTATATACAATCAACAATTTCTTATAAATTGTTATGTAACGATTCACCCCGTTACAATTCCAGTGCAATAGTGAACGTCCTTGTCTTCTTTAAGAGCTCTGCACTTTTATTGTAAATTGATGGCAACAGCAAACCGAGCATACTTTACTAGAGTTGCGTCTTAGGCACACTGTAACGGGGTGAATCGTTACATAACAATTTATAAGAAATTGTTAATAGAATATAACTATAAGAGTTATATTCTCAGAATATTGTCATAAGGACAATATTCTGTAGCACTTCCAAGTAGTTCCTAATTGGTTGATATAGGCCATTATATCAACCAACGAAGACGCGCCACGACAGACGCACGCAATGAGTGGTGAGCAGATAACTGATTTACACATTTGTATTTAGACATAGTTAGATGAAGATAAATAGTGATTTATTGCAGACATTAACTATTATAAATACAGTTCTACTTTTACTTTAACCGAGTACTCGCTTCTTCTTACCGTCTTCCTCTGCACGTACGAGTGTACGTGAAGTTACGAGGCACCGCCTTATTCTGTTATCAGAATAAGTAGCTTGTACTGTCACCAGTACAAGCTTCAGGGTGCCCCGTTACACCTGGTAGCACTTCGTAGTCCGTCCAAGGACCGCGTTCACATCCAACATGAATATGTTGGATGATGAAGATGACCAAAGCTTTCACGCTACGCGTGACGGCTACTCCCATTTGAGCGATGTCGAATGGGATGCGGTTGAACGAATGGGTTCGACCATGGGCATCCATGCTGTTAGCGTCATGCTAGAGGCTCTCAATAGAGATGCCCAACATGCTACTATCGCCAAGTTCATTCAAAATGAACTTGACGCAGAACGCGAGAAAGTAGCCTTGCTTCACCAACAAGGTTCTCAACAAGCAGAGTTGTTGAGAGAACAAGGTGCTCAACAGTTTGAACTGTTGAGACAGCAGCAGGCTGCTGCTGGCGGGTCGATGCACTCGCGTCGACCCGAGATTTTGAAGATTGACATCTCAAAGTATAGGGGGTCGAAGAAGACTCCCTCTTGAGATGGTTCGTCGAATTGGATGACGCCATAAGGGCGCGTCGCATCGACGACGGGGATATGCAAGTTGCATTTGCCCAGTCAAATCTGGCAGGACGTGCCAAGACTTGGGCACTGGGGCTCAAGCTGCACGACCCATATGCGTTTGGGTCGTTGGAAGTCTTCAAGTCGCGGCTCAGACAAACGTTTGAACCGCCTAGAGCTGAGTTCAGAGCTCGAACCGAACTCTTGAAGCTCAAGCAGGGTAAGCGTGATGTGCACGCTTACGCTCAACATATACGACATCTCACGAGTTGTATAAGTTCCAATCCGGTGGATGAACACACGTTGGTTTCGGTGTTCATGCAGGGTCTTGCGGATGGTCCCGTCAAGACTCACCTGTTCCGGCTTGTACTAGATTCACTAGAACAAGCCATTTCCATTGCGGAGCAGGAAGACTTCAGTCTGAGACAGGCTCGCGCCAGCTCGACATCATATCGTCAACCGAGACGATATGACAACGGAGGTCCAGAGCCGATGGAACTCTGTTATGTAGAGAGCGAGAAGGCTCGCTCTACAGGCTACAAGAAGTTGCAGAGATGCAACAGATGTCAAAAGACAGGACACTACGCTTACGAGTGTAGTGCCCCTCGTCCAGTGTCTCGCGACACTGGGCGTAGTGACCGTCCACCCATGAGAAAGGGGCAGGGACGAGGGTCCGCAGTTGGTGCAAAGACGCAACAACGGGATGGACCGTCAAAAAACGGACAGGATCAGTAGGCGCGGAGCACCCTACTGATCCAGCAACGTCAAGAGAATTTGTAGGCCTCTTGATGAAGGTTGCTCCCAACACACAGACATTGTGCGTTGCTGCTCTAGGTAATGAGATCTCACTCATTACCTTGAAACTCGAAGTGACGAATAAGTTGTCCCTTCGAGCTCTAGTCGATTGTGGGGCGTCCAACAATTTTGTGCGACGCCAATCGCTAGAAGATGGTCACTTTAAATTCAGTGAATGTGACACACCTCCTACGAGGATGACAATACGTCTTGCGACAGGCGCATCCGTAACCGTCATGAAGCGTATAGTGAAGATTCACTATACGCTAGAAGATACCCAATACGACGATGACTTTATCGTATTTGATTTGGATGACAAATTTGATGTCATCCTTGGAATACCGTGGCTCAGAAGGTACGAACCACGGGTAAACTGGCAACATCGGACAGTAACGATGCCTGCCGCTTGTTCATCAGATGGCCATCTGATGAACGTTTTGGAGCGTCCACAAGCGTGTGGATGTACTACGAGTGAGTGCGATGGCCTCACTTGTGGTACGGTCGTTAGTACGACTGCACAAAACCTTAGTGTACCAAACGGTTACACTTCGGAGCAAAGTTCCGGCGGCTGTGAGGAAACACAGGCTGCGCCGAAGGTCCACCACTCGAATAAGTCGGGTGGACTGGGACAAAGATGTATCCCTAGAGGGGAACATCTAGAAGAGAAACAATCGATCGCTCAGGTTAAGCGAAACGATAATCCTAGATCGACTGGAGAGTCTTTCGTAGAGGATCTCGCTGTGGTTGCGCAACCCCAGCTAGAGGAAGTAAAGGGAATAAGTCCCAAGATTACAAATACGGCAGAAATAAGTTCCCCGAAACCCGCGGGAATAAGTCCCCGGGAAGACGAAGGAATAAGTCCTTCGAAGCCTGAGGGAATAAGTCCCCAGGAAATGACAGAGACATTGAATGTCATAGTCAATAACGGATCATGTGTAGGCGCTTATACACTTGATCTGATTGCGCCTCCGAAGTTAACTTCGGAGATCACTCAGTTGCCAACGCTCGAACATAAAAGATTCTTGCGTGATCTGCGTAGTGGCAAAGTCAAGCAGATCTGCATACTCGTCGCTGAAGACGAGTATGTAACCGACATAAGGTCAGCAACAGTGTTTACTGAGAACGAGAGAGTTCTCAGTAGTTCATCTATGGACGAGCCAAGGTGTCCTAGATGCAGAAAGACACGAATTGAGCGATATGAGTCCCAATCATGGGAATCGCTCAAGACAAATCCTCTCTACGAAGATATTTGGTTGAATTCAAGGATGTATTCCCTGAAACTGTTCCGTGCGAATTACCGAAGGATAAAGGTATTCGACACGAAGTCGAGCTTAAACCAGGCTCGAAGTACTGTGTCATGAAGCAGTGGCCACTGCCTCGTGAACAAGTACTTGCGATCGACAAGTTCTTTGCCGATCGTTTAGCTGCAGGCCATGTGAGGGAATCAACTTCCCCACATAGCTCTCCGACCTTCTGTGTGCGAAAAGCAACAGGAGGGTGGCGGATAGTGCACGCGTTTAACAAATTGAACGCTGCAACGGTACCGGCTCAGACGCCGATACCGAGGAAGGACGTAATCATTGATGGTATGTCAAAGAGTACCATCTTTTCGTCCATGGATTTGATGGATGGCTTCTATCAAATCCTAATGCGGGAACGGGATATACCCTATACCGCAGTTAGCACGCCTAGCGGCATGCTCTGGGAATGGCTAGTAATGCCACAAGGGCTTAGTAATTCCCCTGCCACGTTCAACAGGTGTGTATCACATCTGTTGAGGCCAGTACGAGAATTCGCGCCGAGTTATTTCGATGACGTATTCATCCATAGTCGAGCTATGGATGGAAAGTCGGACGTTGAGGTTCACAAGTACCACGTCCGACAAGTTCTTACAATCATGCGAAAGCATCAATTGTATGCAAACCTCAAGAAGTGTATTTTTGCAGCAAGCGAAATACCACTTCTTGGGTGCATCGTTGGTAAGAACGGTGTACGTCCTGATCCCGAAAAGATCAAGGCGATCACCGACTGGCCCGTACCGGTCGATGTCAAAGGTCTTCGAAAATTCCTTGGGCTAGCGGCGTATTTGCATAAGTATTCACGCAATTACGCCGAGATGACTGTACACCTCTCTCGTTTGTTGAAAAAGAACGAGAGGTGGTTATGGAACGCTGAATGTCAACGCTCCTTTGAGGGTATCAAGCAGAGCTTGATACAATCCCCAGTCCTAGCAATAGCCGATCAGGACAGGCCATTTCATGTGGTCTGTGATGCCAGCGATTTCGCAATCGGCTGTGCATTAATGCAGTACGACCTTGAAGGCGTTGAACGCGTCGTCTGCTATCAGTCGCGTCAGCTGCAACCAGCTGAGCGGAACTATCCAGTGCATGACAAGGAACTCCTTGCCATGAAGTATGCACTCGCGAAGTTCAGAGTCTATCTATTAGGAGATAGACCCTTCGTTGTTTACACTGACCATGCGTCCTTACGCACGGCAGTGAACAGCCCGCACCTTTCACAACGAATGGCGCGGTGGTTGTCATTCTTTGCAGAATACAACTTTACGGTCGAGTACAAACCAGGACGACTTAATGTCGTCGCTGATGCACTCTCACGTCGTCCCGACTTTGAAACAGTCGCGAAACCCAACAGTGAGACAGTCACTGTTGCGGTTATGACGTCCTCAGTTCCATCTACAACGTTGTATGATGATGTGAGGCGGGCATACGCCCAAGATGGTGAGATAGTGAAGTTGTTGTCACATCTCTCCCAACCATCTCGAGAATCGTTGAAACGATTGTCGTCTGCGTATCGATCTGCATCAGATCGATACACTACTCGTAACGGTTTACTGTACTATACAGCCGTTTCTGGTGACACACCACGTGTTGTCATTCCAGATGATATTGATCTGCGTTTGCGGATCATGTTCGAGTATCACGATGCTCCTATAGGAGGACATCGTGGCCGAGAGAAAACATATCTCACGGTAAGTCGAGACTTTTACTGGCCCCGCCAGTATCAGTTTGTGCGAAAGTATGTTCGCGCATGCGAAGTCTGCCAACGAGTGAAGTCAAGTCCTTCACTGCGTGCACCTTTACAGCCTCTACCGGTTCCGGCTGAGTGCTGGGAATCCATCTCAATGGATTTCGTCTTCGGGTTACCCAAAGACGCACGCGGGAATACGGGTATTCTCGTATTTGTTGACAGACTCAGCAAAATGGTACACCTTGTGGCTGTACCAGAGACAATCACGGCAAGTGGCTGTGCTTGTGTCTTTATTGACACCATCTTCCGACTTCATGGGTTGCCCCGTGAACTCGTATCAGACAGAGATCCACGATTCACTGCTGATTTCTGGCGTTCCGTGTTCAAATCACTCGGAACGCGCTTGAAGATGTCAACATCTGATCATACAGAGTCAGATGGTCAGACGGAACGTGCCAATCGTGTCCTTGAAGAGATACTTCGAGGATACGTACACTCCTTTAAGAGTTGGAGTGAGTTTTTGCCGATGGTAGAGTTTGCCATCAACAACTCGGTGCATGCGTCGACGACACATACACCGTTTTACGTGAATGGCTTGCGCCATCCGCGTGTACCCACCTTACTAGAGTGTAACTCTGGTTTAAGGGGGGGAGGGACTCGCGCGAGCAAAAACCGATTTGGTTCACGCTCATCACGCTCTGACAAAGAAGTCATTGCGTTTGATGCCGATATCGATAACATCGATATCGAAGAAGATGATGCCAGTGAGAGTGCGGAAGCCCTCACTGAAGACAATGATCCCAGTGAGAGTGCGGAAGCCCTCACTGAAGAAAAGATTGTTGTCGCTGCAGTGCGCTCACAGCACACTGAAGCTAACGAGTCATCAGATGAGTTCATACTGGCTCGTGAAACGGTAGTCCGTTTTGTGCAAGACTCCATCGCCGAAGCGGTGGATAAGCAAAAGCAAAACGCTGACAAGAATGGAAGGGCAAACACTCTTTTATTTAATAAAGGTGACTTAGTCCTACTGTCTACGGTTAATCTACCAAAACATGTAGTGACTAACTTGGGTAGCAGTAAACTACTACCCAAGTACATTGGCCCATTTCGTGTATTGCACCGCCTAGGCAATGCATACACGATCGAGTTACCACGTAAGATGCGAACGCATCCCACGTTTTACGTTGATCGGCTTAAGCCGTACCATCAGTACGCTGCTTCTTCCGATGAAGAACGCCCTTGCGCTCAAGCATCTCGCAGAGAGCCTTGTGCTCCCGATGGTGGGCATCAACAAGGGTCTGAAGAGCAGTTATCTCAGCCCGAGACCGATCAACAATCCCACGAGCTACCCTTAGCTCGTCACGAAGAGATGTCAGAGATCTCTCGTTCTCAAGCTGAGCAAAGGCAAACTCAGCTCGATGCTTCGAGGCAGTGTCCACCATCTGGAGACGCCTATTCCGCTCATGCTCGAGATCGTCGCGTAACCCTTGCGTTACGCGATCAAAGAAGCTCTCGGGAACACACCGATCCACATGATCGTGTGGAGAGCGTCTTTCTTCCTCCTCCACCTCCATTAGAGGACTCTCGCGGTGGCCAGCGCTATCTAGTAGAGCAGCTGTTGAACCACCGCGACGTGAACGGACGTCGGACGAGTTACCTCGTCCGGTGGCGCGGCTATCCCCCGTCCTGGGATTCTTGGGAGCCCCGCTCCCAATTGATGGTTGACGTACTGGGTCTGGTCGAGCAGTACGACGCGACACATCCTGTGCCGCAGAAGGACCGCCGGAGAAAGTCTTCCCGGCACGGTCGTAAAGGGATTTCAGGTTGTCAATCCCTTCGTACATCTCAGTAGAGACACGTACGCGCCACCACGGGCTGGTAAGGAGGTAAGCCTCCTTAGGTGCTCGTGCAGAGTTGTTCACACAACATGGGCACGAGTCTCCCCAAGAGAG